AAAGAGATATATTTCAGGGTGGCCAAATCTTGATCTCCCACAGTTACATAACTATATGCTGTTGTTAAAACTCATAGAACTGTACACTAAAGGGAGTGAATTTTACTGTATATAAATTATACTCAATAAAATTGGATCTTGGAGATGGTTTCCCAGGCAATCTGGGCTTCTGCCCTTGAGATACACCTAGCATTGAGCCCTCTCTCTTCCTTTTAGTTCCAGCTGCTGGCCAGCAGGTGCCCCCACACCACTCAATTCTGCTTCCAGAGCAGCAACACTGGAAGCCATTTTTTATCCCAAGTGGCAGCACCCGCTACTGAGTGACCGGAGTTAGGGAAAAATTTTTTTTAAAAAAGGAGAATTGGTAGAAAATAGGAGGATGAGGGGGGAAAAGAGAGGCAAAGCAGTGAAGTGAGACAAGAGAAAATAAAAGAAGGACCTGATTTTATTCTCTGCTTCTCAGTAGCCCTGGCAGAACCGGAGGAGTAGACGGCTGGGGAGTCTTAACTAAGGTGGCCCAGTCCAGAGCTTTGGGACGAGCGAATGGCAGAGATGCTCTGTTTTCCAGGGTTGGTTTTCTAATTCTTTCAGGCTAGAAGATCTCAGGAGGGGGATAGAAAAATTTACTTTTGATCTTGTATCACGCAACTGCATACAAGACCTGCTTAGTTGGTAAAAGCAAGCTCCCATGAAGCAGTCCCTTGTTCTTATCCAGGGGATCCCCGGAGGGGTGACATGCAAGATGGGAGTGGGGCACTGCGGTTGGGAGGAAAACAGGCTGAAGACGAGTATTTGTTTACTTTCAGCAACCCTGACAAGTCCTCCCCCACCCCAACCCCATGTTTCCCTGGGATGCTCTGCCAGACATTTTTACACCAATTCTCTCCAAACTCTTCACACCTGGAAGGGTGTGGTCTACAGTGAAGGCTGCCCCACGGTAGGAGAACACCTCCATGTTCAATGTAAGGATCTGTACTAATTACTCAACTCCTGGTTGCTCAGTGGGTCCAGCTGTCCTCATCTTTTGGTGCCTTACTGGTCTCTGAAGCATCTTGGTTTACCAGCCTGGATTCACTGCATGCCCCCATCCATCCATCCATTTATCCATCGTCCTTCAATTCAACAAATATATATTGAGACCTGATACATACCAGGCATCATTCTAGATGTGTGAATACAGTGGTGAACATGGCAGACAAAAATCCTGTGCTTAAGGGTTTACATTGTAGTAGGGGAGTGGAGCAGATAGTAAACAAGTAAAATTTACGTCAGATTGTGATATTGCTATGGTGAAAAATCTGGAAAAGAAATAGGTGGGAGGAGGGAGAGGGGTGCTATTTAAAAGAGGTAGTTACGGAAGGTGAAATCTGAGCAGAGGTCTGAAGATTGTGAGGGAAGGATTCATGCCAATATCTGGGGCAGGTGTTTAGGTTCTAAGCACAGAGAATAGCAAATTCCAGCCCCATCCAGGGCACAGGTGATTTTCAGGGGTTGAGATGAAAGATGGGGAATGGACATGTACTTTTTTTTCCTACTTGCAATAAACATATAAAAATTTACTAAAAACTAATGGAGTGTTTTTCAAATGTTTCTGACAGCTATCCACAGTAACATATTTTATATTGCCAATATCTGTGTACATGCATATAACAAGTTTCACACACAACCTAATTTTATTATATGTGATGCACTCTATTTTCTATTCCAAGTTAAAAAAAAAATGCTGGTTATAATCAACTAAATTCATTTCAAGACCTAGATTGCAACCTGAGTTTAAACTAGGTTGATCATGTTCAGCCTCACTGGAAAAAACCTTACCTCTCTAGGATTTAGTGTAGTCCTAACAGGTTGGGGGTGATCTTGAGGAGTCAGTTGCGTTGGTAGAGCACGTGTGCATGTGAGCTTGTATCACAGATGACATTCCTGTTCAGCTCACATTAACTCCAAGGTGACGGCTCAGACTAGACTGTCCCCTGTTCTTCTTTCCTTGATTATGAGCAGGGTTGGTTTTAGCTTAAAGCTGGAGGGTTGGTTCAGCATTAGAGCATCGGCCGGCAACATCTACAATGAGAATGCCTTCTTGATAGCTAACTGGGAATGCTGGTTCCTAGGGGGAAAGGAAGTTGGATGGAGCTGATCTCCTAGCATGACTTTTGGAGGGAGATAAAATGGCCCATGGTATGTACACACATACACATGTGTACATACGTATAATTTATTTTTTGTGGGGCAGGGAATGTGGAACAGTTCGTTAACTGCCTAATATTTCTTGCCAGGTACAATTCCCGAGATCCATTTCTTGAGCTGTGCAGTGCTGCCGTCTATCTCATGTATGGCTCTGAGACTAGAGGCTGGGAACTGCCCACAGCAGTTGCCTGGTGTGCCTGCTCTGCCTGCTCACGCCATCTGCCATCTGTACTATGCTCTGCCTGAGCCTGTCAGCCCATACTCTTGTGAGCAAAATGAGACCCTTTTCCAGCCTTCACCTCAGTGTAGTACCTCTGGGGTTTACACTGACACGGCTTCCCTGAGAAGCCCTCCACAGAGGACAATACAAGGGTGTCTGGCTCTACTAAGTATTCAGGGCCTGTTGGGAGTTTATCAGAGGGGCGAGGGGAGCAGATAAACTTAGCTAAGAGCGAGCAACGTAAGGTCAAGGGCCAAGGAAGGAGAAACAGTACAGCTGGAAGAGCAAGAGATATGCCGCTGCACTCAAGTACACCAGAATAAAGATGATCAGCAAAGGGGCTGCGGTTCATCTTCGTTATCTGTCCCTTGAAAGCAGCCTCATGAGAACCACTATTGGAAGAAACTGTAAGATAAAACAAAGGTATGAATTGAGGTTGAATATGAAGTCTAATAATAAGAGAAGAGGGTACCAGCAGTGGTCCAGTAAAAAAGCACCAGATTTCAGTAACTGCAAAACGCCTGGGCTGGGCAGAGCTGCGGGTAAGCTGAGAGAACAGCCTCGAGACTCAGAGGAAGGAAGCACGTAGTCTAGTCTCAGTCTTCAGGTCCAGTTCTTCTTTTTTTGTGTGAGGGAGATCAGCCATGCTAATCCTCCTCTTTTTGCTGAGGAAGACCGGCTCTGAGCTAACATCTATTGCCAATCCTCCTCCTTTTTTTCCCCAAAGCCCCAATAGATAGTTGTATGTCAGTTGCACATCCTTCTAGTTGCTGTATGTGGGATGCGGCCTCAGCATGGCCGGAGGAGCGGTGTGTCGGTGCTTGCCCGGGATCTGAACCTGGGCCGCCAGTAGCGGAGCGCGCGCACTTAACCGCTAAGCCACGGGGCCGGCCCTAGGTCCAGTTCTTAGCGGCTGTCTGTGTGACAAAGGTCTGAAAGCAATGATCAAAACCTTGCTATGGCTTGGAAATTCTTGACCTATTGTGGAAGTTAAGTCCCTTTTCCTCTTTGTTAACATAAGAATAAATCATAACTCTTGTTATTACATTTGGAGTTCCCTTTGAAGGAGGCTGAAAAAAGCAAGATAACTATAGTGAATCCAAATCTCTTGAAGGTGTCAGATGTTCTGAAACAGTGGTGCTCAGAAAAACAGATGCTGTAATTCTGCTGACCCTCCAAGAATATCTTCTAGTAGTTAGGTGAAGATAGCTCTGTTTTTCAAAAGTTGGTGATGGATTTTTTCCCTTTGTGTGGGGAGATATTATCAAATTCTGGCTATTAAAACAGTAAGATGAAAGGCAAAACACACCAGATAAATCATTAAGTCCAACTATTTCTTCACAAATTATCTACTTTAAAAACAACCCAATGATGAATAGCCCAGCAGTCAAATGGTTTATAGGGATTTTGGGCAGTTTTAAAAACACCTGAGGGGCCAGCCCCGTGGCATAGTGGCTAAGTGCATGCGCTCCGCTGCTGGCGGCCCGGGTTCGGATCCCGGGCGTGCACCGACGCACCGCTTGTCAGACCATGCTGTGGCTGTGTCCAATATAAAGTGGAGGAAGATGGGCACGGATGTTAGCTCAGGGCCATTCTTCCTCGGCAAAAAGAGGAGGACTGGCATGGATGTTAGCTCCGGGCTGATCTTCCTCACAAATAAATAAATGGTTAAGATGGTAAATTTTAAAAAATAAAATAAATAAAAAATAAAATGCATCTTATAAAAAAAATTAAAAAACCTGAGCTCATAAAATGTTAAGTATATTTAATACTATAAAATAATTCAGACATGGGAATTAGATATAAATATCTTAAGAAAAGGATGTCTTTGCTCAACAGACTATAAAAAGTCAGTATCTGGAATAATTCTACAGTTAAAAAAATGAGAATCAGAGAGGATAACTGACTTGCTCAAGCCCACGGTGCTAGAGAGAACAAAGTCAGAATTTTAACCCATGTCTTCCCACTCCTAGTTCAGTACATTGTCCATTAAACCACACTGTACTCTCTTAACGTACAGTCTGTTACATGTACTATGCAACCAACATCATACCAGAAAAGTGGCATCACAGTGGGTTATCAGCTGAGATACATGTTGACCAAGAATAACCTAGATGTATCAGTCACTGAAACCCCATTTTATTTGTGCTCCTTTTTGATGATAGCATAAGAGGCTCAAGACTCAATCCAAAGTACTAGAAAACCTAACTGAATTAACAGAAGATTTAGAGAAAAAAATCACCTTAGTAAAATGGTGGATCTCATGGGAACGTAGTTTGGAACAGCTGTTGGTGAAGCAGGATCTCAAGCCTGAAAATTTGTTTTATCAGATAAAGACATGCCAAGGGGAGAAGGGAGGACTCTCAAGACATTTAGCATGAAAATATTCCTTTATAAGTAACTAGCAACTTGGAACTGTGACAGAAGCGGGAAATCCCAGCGTATGGACTGCTTATATCTTTGAGAGCAGAAACTTAATTTTCTTTATTCACTGGAGGCAACTCAAACTTGGGAAATAACATGACAGTTTTGAGATTCATATTTTATTTACAAGTAAATGAAGAACGTCTCCTGTAAACTCTAATTTGGAACGAGAAGAACAATATGAAGAAGTAGCTGCTGGCTCCACAGTGAGGTGTGAAAGGAGTCCATACCACCGTTTCTTTAAACAATGCTTTTGTTATTAAAAAGGGGAAAAAAAGCCACCTGATTTCTTCATGTTGCATATGTGAAAGAATTCAAAATAAAAATGATTTTTCAAAACTCTGCAGTCTCTACATGTGAGGTGACCAGGATGTCACTTTCATTCAGTAACAGCCCCTGCTCCCCAAGAGCAACAGCCTCTGAGCAAAAGACTTAATACTCATCCAGAGTATCTGCTCGAGGAATAGAGAGACCTCGATCCTTAAGAGCCTGAACTTTCAGCTTCTCGGCTTCCAGCTTGGTCTGCTGTTCCACCCTTTGTTCTTCTAGGATTTCTTCAATGGACACTTGCTGGAGGGGTGTATCACTCTCCTTTTCCAAGTCCTACAAAACAAGCAGGTTCGAAAAACTTCAGCTGATGACCAAGAATAGAACACATTACAGATCTAAAGGCAAATGGATTCCTCTATCACACTCGGGTTATTTTTCATACCTGTGACAGGGCTCATAGCCTTCTCCTAGGGACAGAGACATTTTACAAAGAAATGGCTAGCAAGCAACACCACTACACCACATACCCACTACTACATACTACATACATACTACATGCATGCTTATATGAATGTGGTAATAGGGAACAGTATCGCCGTGTGTAATAACAAAGCTTTAGGCTATCTCAAGTCCTACATTAGTCAAGGACTACTTTTCTTTTAAAAAAATATTAGGGCTTCTTATAAACAGCCATCTCCCCAACCTCAGAGAATCCGAGGGAGAAGTTACTGAGGCCAAGATGGCTTTAGATAAGTTTTGTATTTTTACATCATCAAAGTCAGCTTAATTTCCAGGGGTTGCTCATTAAGAAGGTAAGAGAATACTGACTCAAAGCAGCAGCACCCTCCCCCCACAAAGGCAACAAACTGTCCCTCTGATGCATTAACTAGGAGTCTTTAAATTATAACACAAGACTCCTTTCTCCTCTAGGGCAACAAGTTTTCTAGAGAAAACCTGAGCAGACCAGTCAGATTACTAAACCAGTTTGGCCCCAATGTATTTCTCCACTATTTTATTTATTTATTTTGAGGAAGACTGGCTCTGCACTAACATCTGTTGCCAATCTTCCTCTTTTTCTGTTTTTTCCCCCCAAAGCCCCAGTACACAGTTGTGTATCATAATTGTAGAGTTGTAGGTCTTCTATGTGGGATGCCGCCTCAGCATGGCTTGATGAGCGGTGAGTAGGTCTGTGCCCAGGATCCAAACCGGCGAACCTTGGGCCGCCGAAGTGGAATGTGCGAACTTAACCGCTATGCCACTAGGCCGGCCCCCACTATTTTAATTAAAAATTGTTTTGCTTGATAAAAGAATTATTTTTTCACTTATTTAAAAAATACATGCTCATTTTATGAAATTTAGAAAACAGACAAGCAGAAAAAATTTTTTAATTATCCACAATTCCAGTATGGAGGGATAACATTTGTGTGAATATCCTTCCAAAAAATCCCCCTCAATGCAAATATTGACTGTAATTTTTTTCACTTAATATGGCATCATATGCTTAGTGTTTTTATTTTTGAACACCTTATAAACATTTCATAACTAATCTTTTAATGCAGAACCTTACTATAAAAGTATCTTACTATCTATAGATTGAGTTTACTACTCTCCTTAACATGAACATACAGGTATTATTCTATGTTTTTGTAACACAGAAAGCCTACACAGACAGGGTATTCTTATTTCTCATCCTCCTCTACAACTTTCAATCATAAAACTCTGGGAAAGCATGACACATACGCAAACTCTCCAGATGTTCCAGCCTACCACTGGGTAATCATCTCCACTGCCAAGGCCTCAGAACCCACAGGCCGTGACTATCAGATGGAGGACTCTCACCAGAGAGATCAGAATGAAAGCCACACAAATTACATAAGCAAGCCCTGCCCTGGGTCAAATGTTAACTGCACCCAGCAAAATATATATTATCAAGTGTAACCTGCCCTCATAACCCATGGGTAGCAGCTGAAGAGAAGATAATGTTCTTAGCTTAGAGGCTTAGAAAAGCCTCTTGGACTTTTCAGTGTTATTCATTGAGCTGTTCATGTGGTTATGCTGCTTCCCAACAACCAGTCTTATTACTTTAGGCTGTGTGCATCATCACCTTTGAAGCAGAATCCAGGAATTCTTAAGCAAAGGAATGTTTGCAGAATCTATATGGTTTCTGGGTATGAGTGTCCCTAGGGTTGGTACTTAATTTCTTCAAACTGACTACTGATTCATATAACCATGTAAGCATTCCCAAACCATATTTCTTCAGTGATACCGCTGTAAAAATTCTGCAGCATCCAAACCATAACATATAAAAAAGAGCACTTTTCTCACAAAAGAGCTCCTAGGAAACAATGAGTCTTCAAGAACAAACACAAGTTCACCACTTCTCCTCCCATACACATCTATCTACATAGGGGCACATTTGTGCCAATGTAACTGGCACGGAAGACATTTCTGTGATGTTTGCTACTATAAAACCAAAGCAGAGCATATGTAAATATTTTAACTTAAATCTTTTCCCCTGATAGCAAAGTAATACGTTTCCTCTTTTAAAATTAAATTCAGAAAACTATAAAAAAAGGAAAAAATAATCACTCATAATCCTACTGTCCAGAGACGGGTTAGCCCCTCTTAATATGCTGGCAGACCACTTTACAGTCCTTTCCTACCCTGAGTCTCCCACACCCGTGGGTTCTATAGCGCTTTATTTCAACGTTTACATAATACAAGGAGATGACAACTGCTGCTGCTTAAATATGCAAGAAATGATAAAGTGAACCAAAAATATCAACCACAAAAATATTTTAAAAATTAGAAAAAGATATTTGATACATTTCATAGCACCACTTGGGTAGTACTGATAGTATTAATTAGTCATTTCTAGCTAACCATTTCAGCATGAGTCTCTGCACCAAGCTGACCCTGGCAGAATTATCTCCTTACTGTCTCAAATGGCTTACTGTTAAAAAATGGCTATGGACCAAACCACTCCACTCCAAAGACTTCTGTAAACATGACTTAAGATGTGGCCAAGTACTGGGAAACATTATTGAAATATTTAAAAACAAAATACAAAAAGATAAAATTAAGCAAACGCCACAGTTTTTTTTTTTTTATTTTCCTGGCAAACCGAATAATCAGAAGCAAGCAATAATCAGGATGAAGTCAAAGGTTTTAAATAAGGTACTTCTCTTTTTAAATAAATGTTTCATGTAAAACATGAAATCAAGTTTTATCTTCTTTTAAAAATGTCTGAGTACTTCTAATAGTTTTATATATATAAAATAGTTTTCTAATAGTTGTGTATGTATATATGTACACATATGTGTGTATGTATGGTTGTGTGTATGTATGTACACACACACACACACACACACACACAGACCTACAGTAACAACATTTTAGAAGATTTAACTTTTCACCTGCCAGCTGGTCTTCCTGGCACAGATACACAGGTACCTCCTCCTCGGCTGTGAACTAAGGATCCAGGTGAAGCTGAGCTCCATTCTCAGAAGAGTTAATAGAAAGGCTTCTCCTACAGCCATTCTTTCCCCTTCCCCCCTTTAAAAACATGGATATCACATTGTACATGCAATGTGTCTTTCCCCTGCCCAAACACTGCCCAAACACCTTATGTCATGAAAAACTACTTGTAATTGTTGTCTAAATGACTGCAAAATATTCCAATGTATATAAACTATACTTTACTGAATTATTCTTCTCTTGATAGGTATCAAGTTTTTCAATTTTCTGCTGTATAGGTAACAGAAATAATATATTAATGAACACATTTGTATAGGATGATACTTTTTATGGTATCAGGTAAAATCAATGATATTTTGCTGCTAATGGGATCAAAATCTTTAAAATGCCAAGAGGCACTGAAACAAAGTTAATTATTCTCTGTAGCTTTCCTAAGCTACTTTGGCGGTTTCCTGTGAGAAGCTGGGTGAAATGTGGAAAATATAATTTTTCCTTCTTGAAAAGACAAAAAGAAACCTAACTAGCATGATTATTAAGACCCAGAGCAGCTTAACAGTTTTCACTTACTATTTCTCCTAGTAGGACCACATTTTCTCCTCTGACCACAAAAATCCCTCGAGGAATATCACCGTATTTTTTGCCCACATGAATACGCTCCACAGTCTGATGTAGCACTAAGTTAGCTATAAGTGTATAGGGAAGAAACAAAGATATTTAGTTTAAATTATTGGGTAAAGGTCCATAACTCAATCAATCAGTTATTTTGAGTATAAAAGATTTAGCTAAACATGATTTCCAAACTTTCTAATTCTGGGAAAAGCTAAAATTTCAAACAATCTTCTCTTATTTCATCAAGACATAGCACGTAGGAGACTTTAAAACAATTACAAACTGAGAGAGTATTTGGAATTATGTTGCATTAATACATGGATGATGGTGGGAATAAGTTAAGAAAATTAAATTCCTTTATCAGTTAATTGCTAATATCAACATGGCTATAAGAAAACATAAATAAGTAGGGCACTAAGAAGACTCTAAAACCTAGAGCTGCAGAGATTAAAACTCTGATTTTTTAGAAGTAAACAGTGTTTTTATGTTGTATGGGTATGTGTATGTGATTTACCAAAGATTTAACTTTGTTTCAGTACTTAAGATTCACTTAACCCAATGCAGGTATCCATGGATTATGATACAGCAATAACCTATTTTTCCACTGTGTCAGATAACCATACCTGGTAATCTGAGAGTAAAAAGTCAGTATTTACTACTTTTCCCTCAAAGTAGTCTGATGAATTTGACTTAAAATTTAGAACTTCAATCTGTTAAGAATAATTATTTTTCTTTTTTTAATTGGTATTGTCTTATTTGAAGAAAAGCAGATATCTATGCTCTTATCTTCTATCATTCTTACAAGTATTTCAATTATGTTGTTTTTCCTCATGCTGAAATTCACTGATCTAGCAGATGTCCAGCAAATGTTGATATGAACTGCGAAGTTCCTTGAAACAGAAGCAAATACAGATCTCTTTAGAAAAATGGTGGATACAAAACAGAGATGGAGACTCTTGAGTCTAATGTATCCCTAAGTGTAGTATCTTGAGCTTAATATTGAGGTCCCTCAAAAGCTTCAGGAAATGCCTCCTACCACATTTTCATCGGACAGGGAGGGATTACCTTCAGTGCAGGAAGTGCTTTGAAGAGTAGTTACACCCAAGCCAACATAAAATTAGCAACCTTTTCAGTGGACTGAGTTTATGTCTATCATCTGGCTCCCTCTAGTGGGGAAAATAAAATAGGCCAAAACACTGTAATCCTATGTTCTAGTGAAAACCAGTTTTAGAAATACAAGCTTATGAATACAAGCTATTGAACCACCTAATCATAATTTAGAAAACAATGATGTAATGACTCAAAACAGTATTCCATTATGCCAGACACGTGAAAAAGTTGCAGATAAATAAATTTCAATATGAAATAACACAAAAAAACAATGGGCAGCCCTCATTATCCAGAGTATAAGAGAAGTCCGTAACTAATACATACCAAATTGATCAATGCTTCTTAAAAAGCCTATAAGTGTCCTTCCATCTCGAAGCAGGACCAAATGCTTTTCTGGGAAGAGGAAAAAAGATCTTTAAAAAACACCTTCAGTGAGTTTACAGGGTAACAACAAAAATAAAGGTAATAGCAGTTTAAGCTCTATTACTTCCCCTTCTAATGTATTTATAGAGAAGTTCATTGGGAAATTAGAGGGAGGACCAAGACAGCTCTGGGTTTAGAAGATCAGTGGTGACAAGAATCAGAGCAGTGTCGCACAGTGGGAAAAGGCCTGGCTGAGCAGTCAGAAGCCTGACTGACTGGCTCTAGACGCTGATGCTTGACAGTTAAATCCTCTCAGTGTCATGTCAGTTTCTATATCTGCAAATTGAGACATTTAGTCTAGATAATCTTTATGATCTTAATTCTAGAATTATTTTCACCTCAACTTAGAAGAGGTTCCATTTAACACTTTAGAATCAGGGAAGGTTTTAAATAAAAACAATGCCTCGGACATGTCAAATAAGGATGCTGATAATAAGTTAGAGCAAAAATTCAATAATATTTATTGAGAACTATGTGCTGTTCTGGGGCGTAGACGTACAGCAGAGAATAAGACTCAGAAAGTCACCAACTTTATGAACTTATATTCCTGGTGAAGGAAGGCAAACAAATAAAAAATGAGCTATTGTGATTAGTAAAACGCAATAATAAACAAGATAGCAAGACAGTATGAAGAGACAGGGGAAGTAGCTACAGAAGAGAGATGGCTAGGGAAAACCTCTCTGAAGAGGTGACTCTGAGCTGATACTGAAGAATGACAAAAAGCCAGTCACTAGAATACCTAGCAAAATTCATTCATTCATTTCTTTAATACCATGCATAAAGTACTTTCTAGATGCAGACCAGAGAAACAAGACACTGATTCTTCCCTGAAGGAATTTAGTCTTCCTTGGGCTATAATTAAGAGCCACAAGAAAGCAAATCTTAATTACATGAGACTGAGAGAAACTATACCTAGCTGGAGGAAGTATCTGAGTTGGACCTTGAAAGGTAGATAAGTTTTGGCCGTGGGAAGAGTGACAGGGAAGGGGAAGGGGAGGGAAATCTGTAATTTAGAAAGGAGAAAAAAAATGGTTATGTATCAATGTTTGGCTAAAAGTTGAGGGTGTGAAGGGAAATAACAGGAGACAAAGTCAGAAAAGTCCTGGGAGCATGCTGAGTTTGGATTTGACATCATAGGGAATAAGAAAACATTGAAGATTGAACTGGTAGGAAAGGGAGAGCACTTAGAAGGCTACTCCCAGAGTCTGAGACGTGAAGAAGAGACCTGAACCAAGGTAGAGATGGGAAGGGAGAGGATGAGATGACTGAGACTGTGCAGTTATAAGTGATGGGACTTGTCAACTAATTGAGTTTGTATACGTGGGTATGTGTGAGAGAGTGGGGTGCTAAAGAGATGAGGTAAAGAAGATGTATGAATTTTGAGTCCCATGACAGGGAGGACCATTTAGGGAAGTTGGGAGTAAAAGAAGCAAGCTCAGGCTGGAAGATTATTAGCTGTTGGTGATTCTGAGGTGCTACCAGGACACCTATGTAGACAAGTCAATAGGCAGCTGGAAATGTAAGACTGGAATGCCAAAGAGGTCAGAATTAGAGCAATGTTGGATAAGTCCACAAAGAGCTAATATAAAACTATTTAAGTCCAGGAGATTCCCCAGAGATTTAAAGAAAGAAGCTGGCCAAAGATGAAACCCGAGACCATCTATTTTAGGGAAGAGTAATAGTCGGAGAGGTAAGAAAATGAGTAAGGACCATTGTTGGAGAAATCAAGAGGAGAGAATTAAGAATCCAGTGGTAATAGTATCACAATGCTGCAGAGGGGCAGGAAGAGCTCAGAAGAGTACATCAAACTGATGCCTTTTAATAATGCAGCTTCAGTGATGTGTTGACAACAAAATTCAGATTTCAGGGGTAATACAGGTGGTCTATGGCAGGTGGTCAGGAAGTAGAGACAAAATGGAGGTGACTCAAGAGGTTTGTGGGTAAACATATAGAAAAAGGGACGGGAGTTTGATGGGGAGACACAACTGAGAAAAAAATTCAGTTGGATAGACAAGAACATACATGAAGGGAAGGATACAGGCGGAGAAAGAGAGGACATATGAGAAAAAAAGGATATCAATAGAAGAAAGTTCCAGAAGCAGTGGGAGGAAAGGATAATAAAAGACACAAACTGAAAGGGAGGAATACTTCCTATTCAAATGAGAGGATGGGTGAAAATACAGAAAGACAGAGGAGAGTGGAGGAAAGTGTGCGTGTGTGAAGGAGGCAGTGAAAGGGGCATACGAAATGGCTTCAAACTTTTCAGTAAAGGAGGGGGCTTGGAACCTACAAAGAAGGGGTTAGAGGACTTGAGAATAAAAATTATTTTTAGTAAAATGGCAGAATGTGTTAGGGGCCTCGAATAATTCAGATATATAACAAGAGAGGTGAGGGCAAAAGGGCATTCTCATGCAACTAAAATTGAAGATTTCATTACACAATACAGATAGGCTTACACAATGCAGACACAGTACAGTGGTTACTTATATATGAATTTGGTCCAGTTTACATTAAATTTTCCTTCAATAGGTAAATCACTAATTTGGATTTAAAAAAAATGATTTCAGACAACGATAAAAAGAGAATTTCATCATAGAGTTACTCTTCAATTTGCATACATACTAACTGTAGATATAGCTGTAACTTGTTTGGAATTGTATGTAAACCATTTGGCAGCAATCACAAGTTAATGAGACAGATCACACAATTAAAACGATTTAAAAAATGTTGCTTGAGGAATAATTCACAGATGAGAGCTTAGAAAAAGGAAAGACAGGACAACCCTAAGTGGCTCCTCTTTTTACAGGACTGAGCTCCTCTTCAAGACAATGACTAACAATAAGGGAGGTCTTCTCAGTAAAAGCAAAAGAAAATTGTCTAACAGAAGAAAAGAAGTTTGAGGTGACTCAGCCTTGCCAGAAAAGTCAAGATCTTGTCTGGTAGCGGTCTCTACCACCATAACCTGAACGTGCTCAAGACCCTCACTGTGAAAGAAGATTGCAAATGGCCACACAGCATAAAGCCTATGTTTACTGCAATTAAGTCCAATTGCTGTTGTCTGACTATTTTCGTTTCTTGGTGAATCCTTTCTCTAAGTATTCTCATCCATCCACCCGTAACAATCTGGTACTTCGAAATACCGCAGGTGCAAGAAAGTGGACGGGGGCGGGAGGCGCAACTTGCGTATTTGGGCCTCAGCAGCCGCGTCCTTCGGAAGCCGGAATGAATTCTACAGCTTGTGCCTCACCAGACCGGGGACTGGCGGAGGCTGCGAGGGGCATGACAGACACAGTAGGCTAGGAGGTGGCCAAAAGGTGTGTCCCGTGGCTCCTCCATCCCGTGGAGGATGTCAACGCCGAACATCCAGAGCTGTGCTGAAACCACACTGTCCCCCCAGCCCCAGACTCATTCTACGAGCTCCCTCCGAAGAGGCACCTGCCCGGGAGGAAGGGTCTCACCCCAGACTCCCAGACTTCACCCGGAGGAGACAGGCTACTCACTGTCGATGTCCTCGATGAGGCTGGCGGTGCCGGGCATATAGTTCATTTTGAGCTGAGATAAGGCTGCAATGTATAGCGGTGGCGGGCCAGCGCGTGCAACACCTCCTTCTTCCTACCGCAGTCGCTGCCTGGGCGGGACCGGGACACGAACCCTGACCAGCACCAGCACTTCTGCCCCGGCTTTCAGCCGCCGGGGCCTGCCGGAAACTCCTCCATATTACCCCCACCCACTTCCGGCATCACGTGCCGGTCCTCAGGAAGAGGCGGGACCGTCGGGCGGTCCTGGGACACCCTTTCTCCATCCCTGTTGAGAAAAGGAGGAATTTAGGTTGGATAGATGGTGCGAAAATTTATTCTCTCTTTTAAGGAACACGGCGCCGCCCCTCATTTTCCCGCTTCCTAGACCCCAGACTCACCGACCTCGTTCCCTTCACTCTCAGGACTCGGCAGCCGAAGGGGCGGGACGGGGCCTCGGATTGGCTGTTGTCGGCCGACCCCCCTCACTGTTGTCCAGTCCCTCCCGCCCGCAGGCGCCTGCGCAATGGGCCGGCCGTGGGGGGCGGGAAGCGCTTCGGGGCAGTGGAGCCCATGTCGGCCTTGAGGCGCTCGGGGTACGGCCCCAGTGACGGTCCGTCTTATGGCCGCTACTACGGACCTGGGGGTGGAGATGTGCCCGTGCACCCACCTCCGCCCTTATATCCTCCTCGCCCTGAACCTCCCCAGCCTCCCATTTCCTGGCGGGTGCGCGGGGGCGGCCCGGCTGAGACCACCTGGCCGGGAGACTGCGGAGGAAGCGATGGCTACTATCCCTCTGGAGGCGCCTGGCCGGAGCCGGGGCGAGCTGGAGGAAGCCACCAGGTAAGCTTTGCGCCCTCTCCCAGGGGAGATCCGATAGGGGAATTTGGGGAGGTGAGGACCCTTGCGATTGATACACCTCCAGAGTTCGTAATGGATCGGGTTTCATATTTGTTTTCCTTATGAAGGGGTTGGAGAGACAGACTGGGATCGTGGGTGGCAGAATATGCTTGTGCTCTCTTTGCCCCTCCTCTCTGCTGCGACCATAATAAATGTGTCTATTACCGTTAAAAAAGGAAAAAATCCTGCGCTGACTTGCTAAGCTAAGTAGCAGGATGCGGAATCTCTCGCCTTGGAAGGATGTTGGGCTGGGGGGACCTGGCTCTGCTTTTCGAGCTCTAACAATTTATCCTGCGTGGATCATCAGGCCGGCTCTCCCCGAGAAGGGAGGTGGCTGCAGCCCCCGCCGTCACTCAGAACCCCTCCCGCGGATAAGGAACACGAAGGAAGGGGAGGAAGCTGAGCATTTAGCCCTTTGCCCTTAATGCTTTGCCCAGGACTGAATCACGCATAATCAGTCACCTTTACGCACCAATCAAAGCACCTTTACCTGGATTGTTTTATTTAATTTCAAGGCGACTGTAACGTAAATGTCATTGCAGCGTCCCTATTTTACGATTAAAGAACCGTTGGCACTAAGAGGTTAACTCACTTGCTCAATATACTCCGACCCTATAACATTTTTTTCCTGCCGGAAATACACTTCTGTTTTGTTAATGCGGTATTCCTAGTAGAGAATTATTGTTATATGGTGAGGGGCACACCTCTTTTTTCGTTCGGGAATTATAACATCCTCATTGGTTGAAAATATAGTAGTGAAATTCCCATACGTTGCTGGTGAGGATGTAAAATGGTTCAATGCTTTGGAAAGTAGTTTGGCAATTCCTCAAAACATTAAGCATAGAGTTAACATATTACTTAGCAAGTCTGCTCCTAGATATATAACCAAGAAGACTAAAAACATATGTCCACATAAAAACTTGTGTACGCATGTTCATAGCAGCTTTATTCATAACAGCCAAAAAAGGAAATAACCCAAATGTCCATCAATTGATGAATAGATAAAATATGGTATATTCGTAGAATGAAATTATTTAGCTGTAGAAAGGAATGAAGTGCTGATACATTCTGCAACCTGGAAAAACCTTGAAAACATCATGCTGCATGAACGAAGCCAGTCACAAAGACCACATATTATTTATATGAAATGTCCAGAATAGGCAAATCTGTAGAAAGAAAGATTAGTGGTTGCCAGGGGCTGGGGCATTAGGGATGTTGGGGATGATAAATAAAGGGTATGGGATTTCTTTTGGGGATGATGAAAATATTCTGGAATTAGGTAGTGGTGATGATTGCACAATTTTGAATATACTAAAAACCATTGAATTGTACACTTTTAAAAGGGTGAGTTTCATGGTTTGTTAGTTATATCTTTAAAAAATTGCATGAGAAAAAACATGTAGTAATAAAAGTTTAATTGTGAAGAAAGGTCCATATTTTCTCTGTCTAAATCTGGAAGAAGTAGGCCATGGGGGAGTAGAGTGATAAAATGCTTGGCCTATAAGTAGCAAACTAGACCGAAGGTCAGTTGAAGGGAAAGAGGAGAGGACCGTTAAACTGATGACTTCTACTTGGGCTTGCTGTATTATTAAAACAAAAGTGTGTTTTTGGGGTAAGGTTAGAGAAGATAAGATTTTAGTATTATGCAGGGAGTTGTAAGGTATGGTTGAGTGTAGGTGTGCATATAGAGTGGGTGTCGGTGCTGTAGTAGTTGGAGATAAAGCTAGAATGTGTAATGGGCCTTTGTAAACCATCCCAAGAGTTTATCTTTCAGGTTGATGTTTCTGAAACTTGAAAAGTATAGGATGGTAATGTCTTATGCAGCAGCAGAAAATTAATGCAAAAGATGTGCATGTCGTCACAGATGTGGCAAATTTTTTTCCCCAAATTTGTTGTTTTTTTTAACTTTATTGTGGTTTTTGACATATTTTTTACATTTTTATATAATCAGATATGTCAAACTAAAAAAAAAAGGGTATAGGAGCCTTTTAAAGCCTTACTACTCAAGGTGGCCCAGGTTGTCTAGTGGTTATGTTCCGTTCCGGCATGGACCTACATTGCTCTGTTAGCCATGCTCTGCTGGCAGCCCACATACTGAAAAATAGAGGAAGATTGGCATGGATGTTAGCTCAGGGCGAGTCTTCCTCAACAACAACTAAAAAACCTGGCTACTCAAAAAGTGTGGTCCATGGACCAGAGGTTTCAGTGTCATTTGGAGGTTGTTAGAAATGTAGACTCAGGATTTCCTGCTCCAGACTTACCGCTGAAGTTTGATAAATTCCCCAGGTGATTCATATGCACATGCACGTTTGAGAAGCACTGCTCTATAGAATTGAATATATTAGGGTGATGTTGCACTGAACCACTACAAAGATTTGACTGTATTAAAATACAGAAATATGGCAGGGAAAAAAATGGAAATCTACTGCTCCTTGTTTTCTTTCTTTTCTTACCTTGTTAGCTATACTTGCAGCACTGTAGTTTGATCCCTGAACTAGCAGCATCTGCATCACCTAGGAGCTTGCTGGAAATGCCCCAGACCTACCAAACCAGAATGTGCATTTTAACAAGATCCCAGGTGATTTACATGTTCCCTCAGAATAAGTCATGAGAGAGAGAGAGAGAGACGGAGAGTGCCAGCTCACGAGCTGAGATGGTAGCCTCAAGCCGCGGTCTTTTACAACCTAATCTCGCAAGTGATATACCATCACTTCTGCTGTATACTATTGGTCATAGAGACCAACTCTGGTACAGTGTCAGAGGCAACTTCACAAGGGTGTGAACACCAGGAGGCAGGGATCATTGGGAGCCGTCTTGGAGGATGATTACAACGGGAAGGAATGGGGGACAGAGAGCTCACTTAGGCCCCCAGGGTAGTTCAGAAGAGAGTAAAAGGGCATGCATTTGAACAGTGTCTGATTGTAGACAGGGTTTTTTCAAGATTTTATTGTAAAAATTTTTAAACAAACAGAAGAGTTGAAAGAATTCTACAGTGAATACCACCTAGATTCTGTAATTAGCATTTATTGTATTTGCTTTATTACATCTCTCTTATCTTTTTTTTTGGATGCATTTCAATACAAGTTGCATAGATTTGAAAGACATTTTCAAAGGTATATATCAATTGGAAGTGAGGGATGCAGGAGAAACAGAAGGTGCTCCTGAGGTTTTAGTATTTCATAGGAATAAAGATTTCGTAGGAATTAAAAAAGAAGAGGAACAGGTGTTTTGGGCAAGATACGGTTTAGTTTTGTACCAAAAGAACTAGTGATTCGTTAATAGAGGAGCTTAAAAAAATACGAAATACAAAGACTTGGTAAGGGTTTATGTACAGCTTTCAGTTCATTTCTGCTGGAAGCCAAGTTAGTCACAAGTGGTTACAATGTGCAAGCTCTGGATGCAATGTCTGCAAGTGATTAGAGAGAAATTTGTGATTTTCTGTTTTTGTTTTTTGGTGTTGAAGTTTAGTCTTTGTAGCATCTAGGAGTTGTTTTTTGTAGGAGCAAAACAATAGCTGTGGGTTGGGGCTGGCCAGGTGGCACAGCGGTTAAGTGCGCGCACTCCACTGTGGTGGCCCGGGGTTCGCTGGTTGGGATCCCGGGCGCGCACCAACGCACCGCTTGTCAAGCCATGCTGTGGCGGCGTCCCATAATAGAGTGGAGGAAGATGGGCATGGATGTTAGCCCAGGGCCAATCTTCCTCAGCAAAAAAAGAGGAGGATTGGCATCGGATGTTAGCTCAAGGCTGATCTTCCTCACACACAAAAAAACAAAAACAATAGATGTTGGGCTCAGGAGGGAGATGGGGGCTGGAGATTGAGAGTCATCAAATAGAAGCATAACTGCATTACCAAACTGGGTGATGTTGCCAGGGGAGATCTTTGAGAGTCTAAAATAGGTGGCAGAGAAAGAGGGTCCAAAAGAAGACAATGAGAGAGAAGACTCAGAAAGACAGGAGGAAAATCAGGAAAGTCATGTGATGCAACCAAACAAGGACGCAGTTATTTTGCAGGTAAGTGATACGAGAGCTGAGAAGAAGCTGTTGGATTTGCCAATTAAAGAGATGTTAATGACTTTAGTGGTGGGAGTTTCAAATAATAGGAAAGTAATGACTGGGAGGTTTGGATGAGAAGACAACTAGTGTAAACTATACTTCCAGAAGTTTGTTAGTAAATGGGAAAGTGGTCCATTGACTGGGAACCAGGATTGAGGGAAGGATTTTTAGGATTAGGTGGCTTGAATATGTTTGTAAGCAGAGAGTAACCTAGTAGATTGAGAAGATGAGAACAAAAGAGTGGAATATGGTTTGGGGAGAGGAAGATTAAGAAGTGCAGAAGAGCTGAGAAATGTCTTCCGAGCTAGTGGGGGAAAAAGTAAGTTTGGAGTTGGAGGGGAGGGACGTTGAGGGAGTTTATAGCTCTTGGTGAAGTAGGAGGCTAGGTCATCTGAGAGTAAAGGAAGTGGGATGGGGTAAGCTGGGAATTTGATATGATATATGTTTGAAACAGGTGCTACAGAGGAGAAAGGGAGGAATTGTAGA